AAAACCATCTACTTGCCCTAATTATCAGGCTTTCTACACCATAGACCACACCAAAAAAAGTTTAAAAAATCGGATTAATGCTTAAGAAAGATTTACGCTTTAAAGTCCGTGTTCGTCACTTTTGCAAAAAGCATATTTTGCTCTACGATCCCTATATAAAAAACATAATTTTAAATTTCAAATTTTGCAAAAAATTATGTGAATCCTTAGTCCTGTCATTATTAAATTATGCCGATTTAGTGTATCACCCTTGCCTTGATGTCTATACTAAGAATAAACCTACTTTGACACAGTGTCCCAAAAAATAAACTCCATTGTTTGGCTCCAAACTGAAAACATTTATCAGCCGTTTGTTCGCAAATTATCTCTTACTTCATCGCTCTACTATCAATGACGGTGGTGCTTGGTGATAACACAACATAGGAATCGACGCAATCTACTGGACTTACCTCGTTATCGAGTAACCTTGGTTCGCTGTAGCTTTATTTATAATGCTATTGTAATATATAATAATTTCTCACATTCACTTAAAGATCTAACTTTTAACAGCTTTCGTAGAGAGCTCAAATGCTCTAGAGCTAGTAAATTTTCTTTTTTATTTAATAATTAATTTTAAAAATTCTCGTTTTATTTTGTTGTAATTTCCGGTAAGTGTATGGTTAAGTGCGAGTATTCGCAAGACTAGAGTTTGCCTTTTGTAAGCTTACAATCAAGACTTCAAATTTTTACTCACAAATTCCGCAAAAGATAGTAGATAATGTTATCTGCCAAATTTCTTGAAATTTGGTGGTAAATACAGATGCAATATTAACTGATTTGAATAAAAAAATACATCTAAAAATTGTATTGGGTTTTTTGTGTCAAAATAATATGTAACATATTTAGGAATATACACCACGATGATTGCTTCAATACTCAAACGGTAAAATTTAGCTTTACGTTTGTATTCACTGATAATACTAATGGAGTAGTTTACTATACAACAAGTTGGGGAAACGGCATTTGAGTCACTAGCTTTGTTTTGGCAAATGTATTACATACTATATTTAGTTAGTTTTTGGGTACATTTTTGCAGAATATATATCTGACAACATCTGATTTCACAAAATGGAACTTCCACGCCCTTTTGGGTATTGCGGATCCAAGAATTTCCGCAGATCGTGATGGAAATGTGGAGGTGCACCATTATATGGCAGTCACATATTTATCAGATTCATTAAACTTACATTTTGGGATTGTTCGCATAGGAAATAAAAATAGTTGCGATTTGATGAAGGTTTACAAAAAAATAGAGTCCGATGTTATGTTTTAAGATTTAAAGAAAATTTGCAAAACTGACAAATATAGATAAAATAAAAAAATATATTAAATTAATTAAAAATTAACTTATTTCTTTTAATAAATTGAAGAAGACAACAAAATTATTTGTTGTTTTTAAATCTTATTCAACCTACTCCGTAGTGAAATAGTATATTAAGGGTGGTAAACGGCATTTGACTCACGAGTTTATTATATAAACGAGTGAGATAAAGAGTTTTTCTACTCCCGTCTGTAAAATACCTAATTACGCACCGATCTAGCGTGCGGGAAGCGTCATTTTACCATGTCAGTTTCGTTTCCCACGAATCCGATTCATTTCGGACATTTCCGGGATTTTACTGCACGGATTTGCGAGCGATCGGATGTTTTCGGAGATATTTTCCACGCTTTGAATTTTGACGTTTATCAAATCTGGCAGTCATGTCAGTGAATATATTCGTGTTTTTTTGCGAAAATGTACCGAAAAACTAACGGTCGTAGAAAAAGTATATTATGCAACACGTTCGGTAAACTTTTTAACTCACTCGATTATTAAACACTCGCTCCCCTCGTGTCAAATAAACTCGTGAGTCAAATGCCGTTTACCGCACTTGTTGCATAATATACTATTACCAAACGTGTTGCATACTATACTTTTTCTACGACGGATTACTAAATATGGTACCATACAAAGTATTCACTAGTTGCCATAAACCTATTCGCTCATTGTTCCGATCGGTTCTGCGATTGTCGTCTCTTGTTACGTTACGTGTACGCTAGAGAGAGATGTTTTATTGGATATGCCATATAAACAACGGAAGAAAAAGAGCGTAATCGGAAGAAAAATTATCAAATGATACAGCTTTTAAGAGAATTAAATTTTTAAGATCACATAAGCAAGAAAAAGCAGGTCCTAACTTTCAATTTTGTTTGGACTGATGAGAGATGGATATTGGAAAGTCGTAGAATTGGTCTTGGCAAGATATTAATATAAAAACAGTAAAAGACACTAAAGTTCATACGAACGCTATGTAAAATTTCTGTGGGAAACTTAAATTATACATGTTACTTTATTTACCGACTAGTCCACTAGATTCTAATTATAGTTTATAGCACCTAGCATTTAAATTGTCTGATATATTGTAGAACATTTTTCTGTGTATTAGTTTGTGGGTGCATTTTTTCAGAGCATCACGAATATATTCACTGACATGATCGTCAGAATTGACAAAGGTCAAAATTCAAATTGTGCGGTAAAATCTCCGAAAACATCCGATTGCTCACAAACCCATGCGGTAAAATCCCGGAAATTTCCGAAGTGGCTCGGATCCGTGGCAAACGAAATTGACGTGGTAAAGTGACGCTTCCCGCACGCTAGATCGGTGTGTAATTCGGTATTTTACAGACGGGAGTAGAAAAATAACATTAACAGAGAGTAAAGCGTACCAGCAAAATTATTAGTTATTATTAATATTACGTGGGTTAGAAAAAATTGAAAATGAATAATTAGTATCCTAAAAATTAGATACGATAAACGGATACATTTTAATTTACATCGTCTAAAATGCATAAAGACTAATATTTTTTGGCATATTGTTTTTTATTAAATACTATGAAAATTCTAAAATTTATATTTTTATGACTGCACCTTGTATGCAAAGTAGACTACTAAATATTTACTATAATTTAGTAACACATTTTTCGTAGTCCTATAATGTATTAAAATTTCATTAGATTCAGAATGAGTAATATTTGCCACAATCTTTTAAATGGCAAATATTTTAATGGAATTTGCAGTGTATTACAATATATCTCAATTTTAAGTCACAGCTCTTTAAAGTTCTCGGTTGTCTGCAAATCTCACTAAAGACCATTCATCTCAACCATAAGGAAGCATCTATCGAAATTAACTTTTTTTCAGACATGGAAAATCTGCCATCCACCCCTTGAATCATCAAATCTACACCAACGCATGGCAAATACAGCCATCGACAATGCTACGAGACCGTCCGTGACTCCTTTGAAAAGATGCGTACCCCAGAACACCGGTCCGCCTACCCCCGGCCCGGAAAGAAGCTGGAAGAAGACCTGGACATGCGTTATCTGGCACCGGGGGCTTTTACAGTGTTGCCCGAAACCGGTGTCCCGCCCCAACCGCCTGGAGTGCCACCCCCGCACAGATTACCCACCACAACAAGAAGACATAAGCACCAGTCGTTCGCCATTATCGGCGAATCTTCGAGCGGCGACCCCACTTCCAGGAGCACGTCGCCCACCGGCAGGGTGAGCCCTTTCAAAGGCAGGGGCTTCAATCCTTTGGGCTCGCGCCACGCTTCACCTCTGGGATCTCCGATTCCGCCAGAGGACCCTAGGTCGTCGCCTAGAATTCTTTCGCCAAAATCTAGAATACCCAAACCTTCAAGTAGAAGAGGTAGTAGCGGCCAGGTGTTCGGCGAGAAAGTCGTCCACTATGATCCGAACCTGGGGTCGAATACTCAGCTTAGCAAAAGTTTGACCAACTTGAAGCAGAACAGAAAGCCTCCACCCAGTCCGAGACGAGTCAAGAGACCGGTAGCTTTTCAGCAGTTGTCTCCCATTGCTGGTAGCTCGCCGGAGCCCAGCCAATCACTGTCTTCCCCCTCTCGGATTCCTACAAAAAGTAGAAGCACTCCTCCAAGTAGAATTGCGTCTCCGACGAGGGACGGTCTAACTAGGAGTCAGTCGAAACCCAAGTTAAGCGCCCGAGATCCTAGCCCGAATAACACGAGAATACCGGTAAGAAGATACGACCACGTTCGGTCTAAAATAGACAGCTACCATAATAAGGCTAAACCCAAAATACCGCCGAAGCCTCAACAAGAGTCCACGGACCAGTCGGAGGAATCGGATGTACCCAAGAACAAAGTGCTTAGTAGGAGAAATAGTGTAAATAAATTAAACAGGAACAATTCTAGACCCAATCTGTTGTCCAAAACCGCGAATTATAGCAATAGGAACGCAAATATTACTAGTGATAGTGAAGTGGAATCTAGTAGAAAAGTGCCCGCGAAAACTGCCAGTTTAAATACCAAAACGACCCACACCGGTTCGTCTAGTAAGATAGCAGATCCCATATCGAAGAACCTCATAACCGACACGTCACCAGCTACGAATGCGGACACCAAAGGGGGTAGCAAACAAGACTTGACGCGGGTGGGTGCTCAAGATTCAGTGCCGTCCACTAACGAAGTCGTTTCGAGTACTACCAGCACCGTGACGAAGCCGTTGCATATCGAGACCGCAGCTGTGGAGAGGTCTAGGGTGATGTCACCCCTCATCGACGGTAGGGTGTTGAACGCCACGAGCGTCACTCAGGCAATCAATAAAATGAACGACACTGTCCTTAATACCCAGACTCTGATCAAAGAACACGGACTATGTCCGAGGATGACTCCCAGTGCCGTGAGCGCAACTGCCGAGGAAGACCAGAGTCACCAAGCATTAAAAAGCAAGACCGCAGATCACCACGACAAAACCGACGATGTGAAAGACAATAAACAGACCGCCGTTGAGAAAGTTGATGATAGAATGGAGGCTAGCAAGCACGTCGAAGACAAGACTACGAATTTGTCTTCATTAGTAGATACCGGCACGAAGTTCGCAACCTCCGCCATCACCAACGTTACCCGGTCATTGACAAATAACAATAACAATAATCACGTGACGTCGAACCACGCCAACAACCATATGGCCCAGGTCGGTTTGGGAAACCCTAAGGTGTTGGATGAAAGCGATCAGGGAGCTACCAAGATGTCGGTCAACGATCGCATAAGGGAAGCAAGGACAGTGATTGCTGCAGACGTAAGGCCCATCAAGATTACGGTGAGGGAGAAACCGTCCAGCGTGGAAGTTCAGAGCGGCAACTTAGGTCCTCACGTCAGTATTTCTAACGGACTCAACGAAAGACCAGGGTGAGTATTTGGTTAAGCTCTTTCGAGATTTAGCACTGAGGTTGCTTTGATTGATAAATAAATTAATTAATAAACCACCCTTGTAACTTTTGAATTTTAGAAACTACACATTTGTTTACTAAGTTGTGCTTTTGAAAGAAGAAAACACGTAGTAAACCAATTACAGGGTGAGTCCAGTGGCATTTTTCATTTTCTCGCCCATTTTATAAATTACAAGGTGTTCATTTTTTAAAAAATAACATTTTTATTTATAGAGCTCTCAGTTTTTAATATATATACTGTTTAGTTTTCATTTTATTATCTTTCGACTTCTTATGAATTTATATATATAAACCTATAGCTTATCGATTGGCCGCGAGTACAGCACCAAGAAGTTATTCTTCTTCCTTTCCTCGCGGTATTAAATTCTTGAACTTAACTGGCCATCTATACCCGCCAGCGCCCTTAGGCGCATGCTCCACTAAAAATCACGGTGAAGCGCTAAATCGGTCGCTCTCATCGTGTGGTTCAAAAAGTGCCGTTGAACGCATCAGGTCATACGCGTGGTGATCAACAAATTTCCTCACCACTCGAGGCACAGAGAACGCAGCACGGGCCGGCCCCTCCGGAAGGAAGACCAAAAGCGAGGTAGGGTCAGTTAAGTAATCAAAAATCTTTTGATCCTGTCTTGAGTAATTTTTGCGACTTCTTGCTGTGCCAGCTGCGGCCAAAGTCCGTTTCCGCGCGGACACCACATTTTTGGTCCTTCGAGCCGGATTAAAAAGAACTAACTTTTATCTTATTATTGTGCAATCAATATTCTCAATTTGAAATTCACGATTATTTATTTATTCCTTTACTTTTTTTGTGTATGAAGGCCATTAGCATCAACACAAAAAGATCAGTACGTTTTTTTTTTATATATACAGATTCGCATTTGATTTCAATCGACTGGATCTCGGTTTCAAACATTGTTTCGTTTTAACGTTCAATATCGGAACGGCCAGAGTTTCAGGCGTATTTATTTACTTTTTTGTCGAATTTATTTCGGTCTAGTTGAAACTCGGAACAGTTTGGTTTTCATTTTTTTATTATCATTATTATTATTTGAGTAATATCGCTTTTCTCTCTGAATCTGTGTAGTGATAGGTTTTTATAATGGCAAAATCTTTAGGTCAGAATAAAGCCACTCGAGGTTTTTTTATAAGTCGTTTGACTGAAATTTATAATTGTTCTCAGACCTGTCTCACTGATTCAACTAAGTTAAATCAATTTAAAGCTCGTTACGAAGGAATTGAAGACAAATAATTTTGAAGCTCATCATCATGCAATCATTGGGTCACAACAGATGACTGACAAGTCTCTGGAGGATGAAGACGAAATTCGTCAAAAATTTGACGACAAATATTTCGTGATAAAATCTATATATATGGATTTGTTTCCTACAGCGGCTCAAAGTCCTGTTGTCCCATCAAACCAAACAATTTTTAATGCTACCACTAACCAAAAAGTATATGAGGTTGATGTACCAATTTTCAGGGGCGATTACCGAGATTGGCCGACATTCATTGACTTATATGATAGTTTAATTCATAATGACGCGAACATGCCCGCAATTCAAAAATTCGGTTTTTTGGTCAAACATTGCGAGGGTGAACCCCTCAATTTATTAAAAACGTTGCGCATGACTGAGAGCAACTACCCTGTTGCTTATCAGGCATTGCGTGATAGATACCAGAACAAAAGGTTAATGGCCACTGAATTTTGGAACAACATACACAACGCTCCTAAAATGTCATCAGACGATCATTTAGTTTTGCGACGTTTAATCGACACATTTCAAGAAAACTTGGCGGCATTGAATATTTTGGGGTTTCCCACTGTCAAGTGGAATTTTATTCTTCTCAATTTGCTTTTATCAAAAATTGATGTGTATTCAGCTAAGTCATTTGAGCTTGCGCACAGCAGTGTAGAGCTTCCTTCATACGACGATTTAATCAAATTTTTAGATAAAAATTGCAAGGCATTATCGTCCTTTGCACTTTCAAGTCCAGAAGACACCATTCGAACAAAATCAGTCAGAAACCAAAGCGAACGCAGTTTTAAATCTAAATTAAATCCTAAAGGTTTCTTAACGCAGGATAGTCCAAAATGTACATTAGGATGTCAGAGTCAGTCACTCGTTGATTAAATGTTCAGTTTTCAAATCGAAAACGCCTCGTGATCGTTACACCATCGTCAAGCAACATCGCTTGTGCACATTATGCCTCAATTTCCGGTGCAGCGCTAAAAAATGTTCGAGCAATACAGCTTGCCAATTTTGTCAAAGTCGGACACACCATACTTTGCTCCACTGGGGAGCCGATTCTCCTTCCAAAGGCAATTCGCCACAGACACCACATGACTCATCATGCGAACTTCCTCACTCCGTTGCATCTTCTGCATCGGTAGAGCTAAACCCACCTAAATCATATGCCTCTTCTTCGGAGAATATAACCGACTCAACCTTACTCGCTACCGCCCTCGTACAAGTGGCTGACAGACATGGCAACCTACACACTTGCCCAGCGCTGCTGGATAGCGCGAGTCAGGTAAACTGCATCACTGAGAAGTGTTTTCGAAGATTGGGTTTGAAAAGCTACGGTGGAAGTGTTGAAATTCAATTTATCGGTGATACGTCAGTTGCTACATCGAGAGGCTACACTACTTTCGAACTAAGCGTGCCTGGTTTGAATCAACCTTTCGTGGCAGTCTATTCAGTCATATTACCGTCCATTTGCATTAACATGCCTATTGTTTCAGTAGAACACAATAGCTGGGATCATTTGTCTCATATTAAGTTAGCCGATCCAAGTTTCAAGACTCCTAGTGGAATCGACATTTTACTAGGTGCCTCCATATTTCCGTTACTCATGTTGGATGGCAAGATTATGCAATCTCCACATGATCCCATTGCCTTAAACACCATTTACGGCTGGATTATCATGGGAAATGTCAAATCATCTGGCAACTCTCGTTTACATCCACGGCATAGCTTCTTTACTTTATCAGATTCTCTTGAGAGAACCTTGTCCAAATTCTGGCAACTTGAAGAGGTTCCTCATACTGAACCTATGTCTGAGTCTGACAAGTTATGTGAGCGATTTTTTAACACTACTCACTATCGGGAATTGTCTGGAAGATTTATAGTATCTCTTCCCTTCAAAGCAGACGAGCCTGTTTTTTCGATTTCTAGGGATATTGCTCTGAAACAGTTCTATTCTTTAGAGCGACGGCTCTTAAAAGATGTTGATCTCTATGAAAAATACTCTGCTGTCATTCGTGAGTATCTAGACTCCAAACATATGGAAGTTGTTGCTCCTCCTGAAATTTCGACTGATACTCAAAAAATGTATTATCTACCCCACCATTCGGTTATGAAAGCTAGTGACCAAAGCGTGCGCGTAGTATTCAATGCGTCTTGTCCTACTCCACAAGGATCACTCAATCAGTTTCTTCTGTCAGGTCCTAAACTCCAAAAAGACATCACCGCAATTTGCCTTAACTTCAGAAAATTTCCATTAGCATTTTCTTGTGACATCAAAGCCATGTATCGTATGATTGTATTAGACCCCAAGCATCGGGATTATCAGAGGCTAGTATGGAGATTTTCTCCCGAGCAGCCTATCCAAGATTATCGTCTTACCCGCGTTACATTTGGAATCGCATCATCTCCTTATTTGGCACTTCGAGTCATTTTGCAACTGGCACGAGAGGGCTCAGAAGCATATCCGAACGCTTCAAGAGTTCTGCAGTCCGACATATTTGTCGACGACATCTGCACAGGAGCTTACACCTTGGAGGAAGCATTGACTCTTAAAGCAGAGCTTGTTGAGTTATTAAATTCCGCAGGTTTTGAGCTGCGGAAGTGGTCAAGTAATGATCTCAACTTTCTTAATACAATTCCGTCAAATATTCGACAAACTTCTGTTTCACTAGACACTGACACTGACTGTTTTCACAAAGTCCTTGGTCTCCAATGGGACCCAGTGAATGATGTCTTTTCATATCAGGTCAATCAAACCGACGATTCTTGTACGAAAAGATCAATTCTCTCTACCATTGCTCGTACGTTTGATCCAATCGGCTTGATATCACCTTGCATATTTCTTGCAAAGCATCTAATGCAATTGATGTGGGCAGAGGGTGTAGATTGGGATGATACTCCAACCCAAGGTCTTGTCGATCGATGGTTGACATACAAAAGTCAGTTACCCTTGATTTTACAGATAAAAATTCCCGGGTACATCTTGACACCAAATCTTCAGTCTCTACAACTCCATGTTTTCGGCGATGCTTCGGAAATTGGTTTCGGCGCATGCGCGTATTTTCGAGTCGCCGATTCAACTGGCAGTGTATTTTCCGTGCTAGTGACAGCCAAGACCAAAGTTGCTTCACTAAAAAGGATCTCCCTTCCTCGCCTCGAGCTATCAGCTTCAGTTTTGGTCGCTGATTTAATTTCTTTCATCAAAGTCAGTTATTCTGATGTTGGTTTTGAATCCATTTTCGCATGGTCTGACTCCATGGTAGCTCTCGGTTGGATAAGAGCGCCTCCATATAAATGGAAAACCTATATCGCAAATCGCGTATCTCACATTCAAAATATTCTTCCTCCATCTTCTTGGAGATTTGTCCCAACACAACTCAACCCAGGTGATATTGCATCACGTGGTATGTTGCCGGAAGAGCTATTGAACAACTCTATGTGGCGGAACGGCCCAGAGTGGCTACGTCGTTCGTCTGACCAATGGCCGAACAATCCAACTCCTACTCTCGACTCACCAGATATTCGGAAAGAGGAATCAAAAAGGTATGTTTACTCGACTTTTACACAAAAATTCTTTCCTTTCTCGGATTTATTGGACAGATTTTCTTCTCTTCCGAAAATTCTTCGTATTATCACTTATGTTTTGCGTTTCATCGATCTGAAAATAAAACGTCAGTCTGTTGATACATCAGTGATGAATGAAATTGAATTACAT